ACTTAGCACCTCCTAATCCATGACCTTCTGCAATGTCCTACGTTTTAATGTCATATTTTAATTGCCATTGCTGACTTTCTCACCCAGAGAATGTAGTTGTGGTTCGTTGCCTGGACAGAGACAAGGATGGTGGCAGAGTTGCTGTTGGACAGCAAAAGAGAGACCATGCAGGGTAGGACGTTTCCAGATTTGGGCCAGAACCACACCATTAGGGAGACGTGTTCGAGAATATGTTTTTGAAGCCAAGCTTTGTAATGGAAACGAGGAACCAAAGGACGGGTCTCCTCCAACTCTGACAGGCCACCAGAGAAAGCTGGCGCTGGGTGTTTGCATCTTGTGGCTTACCTCTAACCCCCAAGTCTTGGCTCAGCTTTGTGCCCCAGACACATCATCCTCTCCCAGAAACCAAAAAAAGCCTTTTGCTAGAGCTGATGGGGTGGGAAATGCCCGAGGAAACTCACTGCTTTGTAGATATGTGATTAGACCACCCACTGAATGTCTTTGGTCTTCCTGAGAGAAAAAGGACTCATTAAGGGTAAACAGTCCTCTGAAAGGAGAGCAAGACCTGTGTGAATCTGTGTAGAGGAGGTGATGCACGAGGGTAAATGGATCCTGAAGTGGGGATGACAGCTTGTTCCCATCTTTCATCGGAAGTGGCAAAAGGCTTGTTCAGTGTTTGAGTCTCTGAAAGGAGAGCTGTGCTCCCTGCTCTGAGATTTACCCCGGCTCACCCGCTGCTACTGCGAATTCTTGCCCTTTCTCAGCAACCCTTCCCCTCTCTCCTGCCTCTCCTAGGACGGGCCATTCCCCCCACGGATGAAGACCGCAGGAGGATCATTAAGCAGATGAAGGTTCGCACCACCCTGAAAGGAGATAAGAGCTGGATCCACCACCATAACTCGGACTCTGAGGATGAGAAGAGCAGCAGCCAGCTGTACGTACGGCCACCGAGGAACGCTCCGCTTCTCCCTTCCCTTCCCCTCGCCAGCCTCCCGTGAGCACCCTGTTCTCTGGCCTGCAGAAGAAGCAGAGGTGGTGCTAGCATGTTTTGGGGTCCCCATGATGCCAGGAAAGGACGCTCCCAAAGGGAAGGGGTCCTCCTGTTTACTTTTGATAAACGCAGGCTGGGGAGAAGCTCTGAGGAATGGCCTGAGAATCCAGCAGCACAGGCAGATCTGAAGTCTCGGGAGAACTTCCAAGTTTTTTTGAAGCCGGATTGTCTTTCAGTCTCTCCGGAGTGACAAATGAAGGGGCAGACCTTGATGAGGGGGAGCTTAAGTGATAAAATGGCCAGGTCTGCACCTCCTCCTGCAGCTCGTGGGGCTGTGTCACGCAGCCACCCCTGCACCAGGGTGTACACCACACTCTGCACCAGCTTCTCTGAATCAGAAACAAAACCAAGCCCAAATCAGTCTCCTCTCAGCAGCTCGCTCTGCAACCGTCACGGCCGTGTCCAGCACGAGGCAGCTCAGCACGATCAGAAGCTCATTATGTCGTTGTGTTTTCTCTTGACTCAGGTCTGGACGGGCCGGTGGGGGATCCCCAGCCTCAACACCTACGGCTCCGCAGAGCAACAGGTAATTCTGGGGACCCGTCCTGCCGCTTCCCTTCTGTCTTACCTCGTGGGGTCGGTGTGTGCTTTCACTGGTGCTTCACAAACGTCCGCTCTTTCTTCGCCCCCTCGTGCCCGCTCACTGCTGCGATGGTGTCGGAGAAAACAGTCCTTGAGGGGAGCCTGCGTTGGTCAGTATAACATCTTACAAACCGTCCCCTCGGAGAGAGCACGGCTTGTCTGCTGCAAAGTCCAGGTGGATGAACGGATGGATTGATGTCTTTAATGCCGGTGAAAGGGATGCCTTCAAGCCCGCGATCCCACAAGGTTACTGGTGCGCATCAGCTCCCATGCTGGTGCAATAACTGGATGCTCTAAGCATGGGGGCTCCTCAGAGCAAGTGTAGCCCTCTGGGAGCTGGATTTGCTTCAGGGCCAGAGCACGGGGGCTCTTCGGGAACCCAGGAGCTTGTAGGACTAGTGTCCTAAAACATAAAACCGTTGGAAAAGGCTTAGTCGTACGTGAGAGCTCTTTGGTAGCTGCAGTGCCATTGTTGGGGGAGCATTGCCCTCTCCCTTGAGCGGTTTCCTTCTTCCTCTCTCTTTTTCTGTGCCAGCTCTTGTTGCTTCTTGTTGCAATTAGGATGATTTCCCTGCCAGGCCCTACCTCCTTCTGCCTCCTCCTGCACATAGCGCTTTATCAGGTACAGGATACGTAAAACCAGGGATGTTTGTGACGTTGGAAATGTGGCATCTGAAGTGACAGGGAGTCCTGGATGCTCAGGATCCGCTTATACTTCAGAGTGAGGACAGGCATTCCCACACCAAGCCGGGCAACTTCTCCGCCTCCCTGCAGCTCCCGTTGAAAGCTCAGGGAACAGCGAGGCCGCGGGGCTGCGATGGGCTGCACCCTGCCGGGGCCCGCTCTGAGGGCACTCCGGGATCCAGAGCTTGGGGCTGCGCTCAGCGCTCGTCCTCCAGCTCATCCCAGCGGGAGTGCTCCAGAGCTCGGCCAAGCCTGCAGCCAGGTTGCACTTCTGGGAAGGCGACGGGATACGCTTGAGCTTGGCAGCCACCTCGGGCGTGGGGGCGGTGGCCGGTGTAAACCTGCAAAACTTGAGCTGGCGGCTCACCCTGCTTGGAGAGAGACCTGCTGGGCTTTCTGGCTGAATTATCTTGTGACCCTAAGGGCGCCTGGACAGACAGGAGAAGAGGGGGTGGTGCCTGGGCAGGGCTGGAGGGAGCCTGTCTGAGCTCATTGGATGGGAACCAGGGCCTTGAGGCCCATCCTGGGCCCCACCTTGCTCTCGGGAGGATGCCTCCAGGACAGCTTGAAGCGTGTTTCAGGGATGCTTCCTCCTGCCCTGGTGCAAGGGGCCACATCCCCACCGGAAGGTGTCCCTTTCCTTTCCCTCCAGGGGAGCTGTGCCACACTCCCTTCCTGAGAACGGACCCCCAGAGACGTTACTGTGAAGATGGGGTTTTCCTGTGAGAAAACCACCAGGATCTCCACCAATTTCCTCTGTGCCATCAATCTGGAGACTTAATTTTGAGCCAGAAAACACTGTCGGCGTGGCTGATTTTAATTGGCTAACTCTAAAATTCACTTTTCTCATAAAAACCTTTTATCGAGTTTGTTCTGATGATTATTCATTTTTAAAGAATCCTTCCAAGGTTAACTCTGGTGCAGCGGTTGAGGTATCGCTCAAGGCTGGTTTAGCCAGACTTTTGGCTCGACAGCCGTGTGAACATTTCCCTTTAATGCTCGTGCTGCTGCTGCTGCTGTTGTTGTTTTTCCTCATGTTTCTTAACTCGCTCCTGTCTGTTCTTTGCACAGGTCTTCCACCTCCAAGCCTCAGTCCGGTTACCTCATCAGGTTGGTACGGAGTGGCATAATTTTGGCTGTAGGGGAAGGAGAAACTAGATCAGGAGCAACAAGCGTGACCCATACGACTGTCTCTTGGGTTCTCCTGTTAGTTAGGAGCATTGCAATGCTCAGGGAGTGCCTTGGTGAAGAGATAGTCCCCAGCATTTTGTTTAACAGGTAGTTTGGTGGTGATGGTAACAGAAAACCAGATCTCCTCGGCATGAGCAACATTACACACGGAAGAGTTATTGTTCTGTGAAAATGTTTCACCGTCCTTGCGATCAGCGTGGCACCAGTGACGGGGCTTTGTGCTTCGGCTTCCTCCGACACATGGGCCGTTGCCCACGGAGACTCCGGTGCCACCGTGACCCTAACGAGGTTGGCAGCCCTGTGGCACCAAACCCAACCCTCTGCGTGAGCTGATTTTACCGTGTTGTCTAAGGGCAGGGAGTAGGAAGATGGGATTTTTCTCAGGATGACTCTCCCAAGGAAGCACCTCCTAATTCCTGGTGTCCTGAGCCGGCAGGACACACGGACAACATGAGGCCAAAGAGGGGCTGCAAGCCTCTTGATTTGAGTTCCAAACTCTGGTCTGCAAAAAATTTAACGTGTCTCTTTTCTCCCCAGAGGGGTGTTCACAAAGACCATCGATAAGACCCCTTCCGTGCCAGATTCTTCGTCTTCGAATGAAGCACAAAAAAGGTGCGTGTGCATCTTCCTCGTGAAAATGAGCTTTTAAATATTGTATATATTTCTAATCATCCTTTTACTTTGGCCAGTGCTTGTGGGCTTCCGCTGAGCTCCACTAAATCCCTTCTGGGTGCTGGAAGATGCAGCTGTTCATTTAACAGCCCCACTTAGCAGACAAGGGAAAAACACAAGGCTTCAAACTCCCTGCTTTCCTCACCAGAGCGTGGGATGGCAGCTGGCCGTGAAAGGGCTCGTGGATTTGGGTGACACACCATGAGGAATCCTTGCAAAGCTGTAACTCCTCATTTTGATGTTTTTCATGTGGTTTGGTGGTTTTTTGTTTGGGTTTTGGGTTTGGTTTTTTTTTTTTTTTTTGGAAACCTGTCTTGTAAAAGGCACTGAAGTTTAATTCCAGTAAGATCTGGGTATGGCTCTGATCTAAGCAGATGCTTTGTTGCATCTCAAGTGAAACCTTTTGAAACCCCATTTTTCCCCCTGTTTTGATTCATCTGGGGAGAAGGATGATGCCACAAGGTGTCTTCTTCCTTCTCACTGGCTGAACCTGGGATGGAGTAGCACCATCCCACGGAAGGGTATGCCCATACCGGTTCTGACAACTCACAGTGGCCCTGGGAGGCAAAGCAGACCTCAAATCCTCATCCAAGGCTGCGAAAAGAGGGCAAATACTGCCCTTCAGTTAAATAGTGTTCCCTGAACTCAGGGAGTGGATATTTGGGATCCCAAGTTTTCTCCCATCTTGTGGAGCGTGAGCTGCCCTGGGGGAGAGGGTGGGTGAGAGCTGAGGAGGGTCCTGTTAACCAACGTGGTTTGTGCCGTCCGCAGCGCTGCCGCGAAGGGACACGGCCTGCGCCGTTCTTCCTCTGGCTACAGGATGACCACTGAGGACTACAAGAAGCTGTGAGTGTGCAAAGCGGAGCAGCGTTTTCTACCCGCGTGCAGGCTCGGCAGCACCCGAGCCTCAGGGGTGAAGCCACCTGCGTGAGGGTGCCCGTGTTCAGGACAGCCTGGCCGAGCTCTCGCTAGGAACCACAGCAGTTCCCCGTGCTACCCGTGTGGGCCATGAGGTGTTCCTTGAACTGGTGGTGGCCTTGGTACGGGACGAATTTGGTTACTGGGTAGAAATGAAGGCAGAAAGTGGAGGCTGCAGCCTGGGGACTTGGTTGGCAGCGTTGGTGGCCCTTCTGAAGCCAGGAGAGAGGAGGGGCCGTGTGGCAGAACAGCCCTGCTCACATCTCCTGCGCAGCTTTTGCTGTCGAAGGCTGCGGCTCTGCTCTGAAATGCAGCTGAGGATTTATTATGAACCAGCCCCTAGGCCTAACCCCTACACTAAGGAACCAAAATCCTACGGGGACACGTGCGCCTCAACGTGCGTGAAAAACACAAGTGTCTCCCCACGCTCGTGTGCAACGCTTCTAGGGGCTGAGCTTGTCTCCACGTGCCCTGCCCTTGGATTTACCTTGGTTTTTGCTCGTGCTGCCTCTGCAGCAGTCTGCAGAGGGGGTTCCCTGACCCTGGCTCTCCCTTCCCTTTCTCTTTCAGAGCTCCCTATAACGTCAAGCAAAAATCGGTGGACTCGGATGAGGAGGATGTGCCTTTTACTCCAGCTGAGCACAAAAAGAGGTATGCCCTCCGGGTGGCCACCTTTTCCTCGCAGGGGCAACGACGAGTGGACTCACTTCAGTTTAACTGTTTGTTACTGGGAGGGTCGGTTCGATGGTGGTTACAGCTGAGCCATTAGGGCTGGTTGCAATAAAATAAGAATAAGCAGATATTTCTACACAGAGCGCATCTCTGCCCGCAGGCGACCGCGCTCCCAACAAAATATAATTAAGAGCCTGACGTGATGCAGCCTGACAGCACACCCCAATTAATTGGGCAGCTGGAAATGGGTTGTGGAACCCATCAGCTGCGGAGCGTCTCTGTGAGGAGAGAGAGAGAGACGTACGAGTGGCCTGGCGGGAAAAGGAGGAGACCACCTCCCAGAGCCCCCTGCGCGCCTCTGAGCCCGGGCCACTTGGGGACTCACGTCTCAGTCCAGATCCGGGTCTCTCGTTGTGGTACCAGGAGTAGAGCGTGGGTGGTCCGGGTCGTAGATCCGCTGGTCTGGTGCAGCCAGTGCCCTGGTTGCCTTCAGTCGAGTTTCTGAAGATATTTTTTCCTCAGATATAAGACTTTTACAAATGCAAACTTGGTAATTTGCCCACTGGGAACGAACCAGTAAAAGTCCCTTTGAGGTCTGCGCTTCTCCCTTGGGACACGTGGTGGTACTGGTGTCTGTACAGACAGGTGCAGCCCGCGTAGCAGCCACGTCAGCCACGAAGCCTGTGTCCCCTTTGTTTGTCCCGCGGTGTGCAATATTGCAACGGGACAGATCTGGAGAAGGGGGATTCCCTCTGCCCTCCTGGAAGAGGAAGTATTTTGGTTGGGTTGTTTTTTTTTTTTTATTCCTGATGCTTCACCTCCATGTCAAAGGGCTGTGGCCCGGCGCAAATGATACTAAAGAAAGAGATAAGACGTCGTTACTCCTCTTAGCTCTGGCTGGATTTCTGCTCCCCAGGGCACGGGAGCTCTGTCAGGCTTAGCACAAACCTCCGCTGGGTGCTTCACCTATTGCCTCGTCGAGGCTCCACCCCGCAGCCCCTAACAGCGTGAGCAGAATGTGACCCCCTCCCTCCCTCCCTCCCTTCCAGGACAGAGGCGGCCAACAGCGTCCTGAGGCGCACCGCCAGCAGGGAACGTGCTTACGTCCTCTCGGCGGCCAAGAAGAGCAACGGGTGAGTGTTCAGCGTGCGAGCGTGGGGCAGGAGCCGGGGAAGAGGCTCTTGAAGGTGGTCTCGCGGGGAGGGGGGCCTGACCCCAGGCTCTCTGAAGGCGAGGGGTACCTTTCCAAGGAGCGGAGAAGACGTAGCTGGCGTCTCTCTAGAAGCGCCAAGGATCTCTGCAGGTTTCTCCACTCCTCCAAGAGTCTTGGGAAGTCTTCCTTACTGAGAGGGATGAAATTTCAGGAGGAGGAAAACCGTGATAATCCCTAATTCCCTGAGGCCCACCATCCATACTTCAATCTTCAGACTCCGTTCTTAATGCTGCTCTCTCCAGTTTTGTTTCACGGAAGGGGAAAATCAGAACAAATATAAACTGCACCCGATATGGATCAGCTTTTTGGGACAGCTTGCCTTTCCCTTGGGTTTGAACAGCAGCTAGGTTTACGAGATCGTGATCTTAGTTGCAGCTTCAAAATAGTTCTGTGGGGGGAAAGAACCCAACGGTAACGTGTGGACGGGTAACAGGAATGTGAGGGATGGATGGGAGCTACTGGTGTTCAAGGCTCTGTTGTCCATGTTTTTCCTGGGAGGGGAAAAAAAAAAAAAGGCAAATTTCCAAAGTCTCTGCTCCCCCAGGAGCCATGGTAGTGACTTCTGTGCCACTCGCTTTCACTATAAATCCTTTTCCTCTTGCTGTAACTCAGGGTGACACAATGAGGCATCGGGAGGTTGCTGGTGCGGGAGGAGGCAGGGAGGGGATGTGCCAGCAGCGCTCAGCTGTGCTCGGGCAGGGTTTGTGAGGACGTCAGGGGTGGTGTTCCCCTGGTGCCCTGCGTGTCGTGGGGCATGGGGGGAGGCAGGTTTGTATGCAGGAAGAAAAACAGCCGTCAGGAAGGTATAAAATGAAAAAAAAAGAAGCCCCTGGGGAAGCTGCTTTACCTCGCATGTCGAAAC